CACACACACACACACACACACACACACACACACACACACACACACACACACTCACACACGTATACACAGGCACATGCTCACATGCACCTCACATATAACCACCTTCACACACGCTTACATCCTTAACATGCACCTTCGCATGCACACATGTGGGAACGTAGATTCACACCCTCACATGCTCACATGTCCCCACTCCCTCACGAGCTATCGGTGCTCATACACGTTCACATGCACGTGTACGAACTCACATCCACATGCCTCTCACACCTCCTGTACTCACACACTCACATACACACATGGACACCCTCAGAGGCATGCAAACACACTCACATTCACCTACTTAGATACACTCACACAGTCACACACACAGCACACACTCACATGTTGTTGTTGTTAAGTGTCGTCAAGGTGACTCATAGCGACCCTGTGAAGGAGAGTCCTCAACACTTGGGTGTCTCTCATCCTCTCTCCAGGTTCATAGGGTTTCCAGAGGCAAGCTATTATGGAAGTGGATGCCACTCCTCCTCCCAAGCTTGTTTTAATCGGAGAGCTTCACTCCACTCTCTGTCTGCATTGGGTAACCAGCCATTAATGCATTTGACACATCAGTGTTACAGTGTTCAGCCTCACAGCAACCACAAGTGACTGCGCGACGGCAACTTGTACACCAGGGCTATACGACCTAGAAGAATGTCTGAACAAAAACAATGAAAGACAGGCCCGAGGGCTGCAGATTAAAAGTCACCCACCTTTGGCTTGATAGCATCGCTTTCTGTCCACTGGGCCACCTGATCTCTCTCTACGGTGATGTTATTGTTAAGTGCTGTCGAGTCGTAGGCGACTCATAGCGACCCTATGAAGGAGAGTCCTCAACGCTTGAGTGTCTTTCATCCTCTCTCCAGGTTCATAGGGTTTCCGGAGGCAAGCTATTACAGAAGTGGATGCCACTCCTCCTTCCACGCTTGTTTTAATTGGGGAGCTTCACCCTACTCTCTGTCCTCATTGGGTAACCAACTATTAATACATTTGACACATCAGTGTCACAGACACACTCACAGACACCTACTTAAATATACTCACTCACACACACACAGCACACACTCACATACAGCTACTTAAACACACTCACTCACACAGTCACACACACATCACACACTCACAGACACCTTAAATACACTCACACACAGCATACACTCACAGACACATTCCCACCCCCTCGCTCTACCAGGATCGTATTTTGGAAAGGCCACATTGATGTTGTTGTTATGGGCTGTCAAGTCAGAGCTGACCCTCCAGTGGCCTTTCAGAGGCTGTAAATCACAAGTGAGGAGATGGCTCATAGTTCTCCCTAGTAGCAGCTGGTGGATTTGAACCGTGTGTCTTCGGGTTGGCAGCATAGCTCCTTACCCACTAGAGGTGAGGATTTGCAAGGCACAAAGTGACATCAGGTGACAAGACGGGGACAGTCGTATGATACTGAAGACCACAGCCAAGTGGACGCAATCATGAGGGCAACGAACCCCAATGGATTAAGTACATGCCAAATGACATGCTGGACACAGTGGGTGAAATAGACCATTAAAAGCAAGTTCCCTTTCACTTTTTAGGAAAACTGTTAGGAAAAGAGTTAAGGGTGAGAGAGAGAAAAAAACTGGTCCCAGGAAATGAAAAGGCCTTTATTGCATGATCTGAGAGGGACGTCTAGTGACCAGGAGTGGAGAAAGTCAGAATGGCACGCCCACAATTAGGGGCAATTCCTTTGTATAGGGGTTTTGGGGAGGGCTAGGAAAGATGGTGTCTGTTGTCATTTGGGGCCTTTCGTTAACTCGGGTCTGGGCTTTCATGATCAGTCTCAGAGCCTTATCATGTTTTATAATTGTGTCTGGTCTTTGTCCTGGCTGCCCTTTGACACCATCAGATTCTCAGGGAGTGGTCAGGCCTGGGGGCCACTGCTATATTTTTTTTTCTCCAATGACTACTAAAAATTTTATTTTTACTATGTGTGTGTGTGTGTACTATCAAATCAAATCTGACTGGTACTGGAGGAGATTGCCCCTCCTTTGCCAGCAGAGCATCTGGTAGATTCGAACTGTGTACCTCTGGGATTGCAGTTCAGCTTCTTGCCACTAGGTCACCAGAGCTCCCTAGTTTAAACTGCTTTTTGTCAAACATTCCTCTAAGTGGTATAGCCCTGGTCTGTCCATTTGCTGTACAGAGGCAATTTGTGGTTACTGTGATGCTAAACACTGTGACACTGATGTGCCAAATGCGATAATGGTTACCCTTGGTGGACAGTGTTTGGTAGAGCTCCCTGATTAAAACAAGCCTGGAAGCAGGAGTGGCATCCACTTCCCAAATGGCTTACCTCCGGAAACCCTATGAACAGTGTTCAGGTATTTCGTTCATAGGGTCACTACAACAACAATACAACAATGCCTACTAGAAATTTTGAAATGACTGAAGTGCCTCTTTTGGTCTTCCTGGGTTTAAGTTCTTCAGGGAGGTATTTTGGACTGAGTTATACATAGGGTCGCTATGAGTCACAGGCGACTCGACAGCACATAACAACAACAACTGGTTGAGAAGGGGGTCAGTTTATGAGGGAATATTTGCATCTTACTATAAGGTGGCCTTGTGGCATAGTGAGTACCTCCTGGGGCTGCCAACTGGAAAGCCGATGGTTTGAATCCACCAGCCTCTCCATGGGAGAAAGATGGGTATTTTGCTCCCAGAAAGCCTGGCAACCTGAGGGGGGCAGTCACTGTGAGTCAGAACCAACTCCATGGCAGCGGCCACAGGGACCGGGGTCCAGGGAGAGAGACACACACATGACGCGGACCACACTTGGTAACGTATGCTTCTCTGCCCTTTCTCCAGCTTCAACCAAGGAGACCCACGGAGACACACAGTCACTGCTTGGAGCCCAGCACACTGTCCGTGGGGTTTCTGAAGCCAGGACCTCAATGGGGCCGTCCCTTGACTGCTCCCCTGTTGCGGACGTGTTCTTCGATGGGACCTGGTACAGTTTTCAAAGCAACAGAATCATTGTAGGTCTCTGAATTCTCTTAGGAACCATCATGATATTGATCCCGGGAATTATATCGAGACGACTACACCAAACTTCCTGTTTCAGGAGAAAGATCTTACCTTCGTGTGTTCCTGCTGGACTGTCTTGCCTCCCCAGAGCATAAAAGACACTGAAAAGAAAGAAAAACCTTCCCGGGTGGGGGAACCACACCCCTAAGCCCACTGCCTGGCTGCAAGCAACTTGGGGACCCTTCTGATAAGTTCTGAGAATAAAGTTCTGTGGTGTCTCGTGTCCTGGCTTTCTGGAGAGAGAATGCGTAGTCACTTACTGCAGAGACTCAGACCTGGACATTTGTTCTGGGCTTGGATGCTAGCCGGCTGTGCATCGGGGCAACCTCTGAATTGGGTCAGATCTGCGAAAACAGAGCCCATTTCACAGAGACACCATGAAGGTTGGTGGGGCTATCCCTAGGAAGAGCTGAGTCTCAGCACCTGAAAATCTTGTCCCAGGTGAGTGGCTGTCAACCCAGGACCCTTTCAGTCTTGCTTAGCAGGTGTTGCTCTTAGTTAATTTCCCCAACAGGGAAGAGTTTTGCTGAAAATGCCAAGATGAGAGCAGCTTAAAGAAGATGATGATGTTAGGGGCCATTGAGTACAACCTATAGCGACCCTGTGAACAACAGCTTGAACCCTGTCCTATCCTGTGCCATCCTCACACTTCCAGACCTGTCAGAGCCCATTGTGGCAGTCACCGTGTCAAGTCACCTGGTTAAAGGTGTTTATCTCCTTCACTGACCCTCCGCTTTTCTAAGCATCATGTCCCCCTCCAAGGAATAGCCCCTCTCAGCGACATGCCTGAAGTTGTGAGGCAAAGCCTTTTCATCTTTGCCTCCAAAGAGCATTCTGGCTGTGTCTTCTTTAAGACATACTTTTTTGTTCTTTCGGTAGTCTGTGGGATGTTCAAAACTCTTCTCCAGCACCACGCAGATCAAGGGCATCGATTTTTCTATCATCCTTATTCATTGTCCAACTCTCAGATGTAGAGCTAGTGATTGCATAGACCATAGCCTAAATCAGATGCACCTTTGTCCTCAAACTGATATCATTATTCCTCAACGTGGAGAGGTTCCTATGTGCAGAGTTTTCCAGTGCAATTGTTGTTGTTGTTTTTGCTCTACCCTGTGCCAACCTTATTGTCTCTGACACACCCACACTCATTACTTCAGTCACTGCATCAATCCATCTCATCG